TAGATGTAGTATTAGGTGGGTTTTATTTTTATACAAGTTTTTAAGTTATTATTAGTTGGTTTTATGTGTAATTGTCTATTTAATTAGAGTTTTGATGAATAAAATGTGGGTTCAAATCAATATAGATAAGTTATCTACATTGAGCAGAAAATGATATCGTTTTGGGAAGGAAATTAAGGTATTTTTATAATTATAATTTATTTCAGGATTATAATAGTTTTTCTCATTATAATTTTTTAATCGTTCAACCCAAAATGACATCATTTTGAGAGTGAATGTAAATAACTTATCTACATTCACTTTAAAAATTTTAAAACCATAAAATATTATAGTTAAAATTAATTCGCCGTTGTGTGAATCACCTCATGCTTCCTTAATAAAGCCATCATTTTCTCTTATTGGTAATAAAGGTATGAACAACTAGATAGAAAAATTAGTATAGTACGAAATACCAAAGTCAATTTGAGAGGTTGCTATCCAAGATCAAATGATTAGAGATGTTCAGGTAGGTAAATTGCTTCATAAGTGGGCTCTGTGAGATGCTTCAGACTAATATGCAAGAAAATCGGCTTGCTTTCCTATTTAATACTATTGAGCTTGTTAAATTGTATGAGGATCGGAATAACCGCATATCCTCTAACACTACAAGTCCCACCTTTTCCACGATGAATAACCCATTTCAGAGCAACCCATCGGTCAAACAATTGTCTTTTGATAAAATTTCATAACGACAATGAAAAGGCTTATGCTTTCTATGCAATAAGACTTAAGCACTTAGTCACCATTGTAAAAAGTTTTTTGCAATTCAAGCTATCTCGGAGGGTAGTGACATAGAAGCTAAGATGGAGTTGGAAGAGGAGCCTCCTGTAGGTGGAAATATAATTGAAGTAAAAGAGATTACTCTTGAGGGCAAGGGTAATTTTTAGAGGGAGAGAATGTAGGTGGAAATATAATTGAAGTAAAAGAGATTACTCTTAAGGGCAAGGGTAATTTTTAGGGGGAGAGAATATTAATAATTTGTTAATTTTATTTTTTATTTTATCTTTGTTGCCAATTAGTTGTTAGACTAATATTTGAATTTGTTTTACGTTTATTTGAATAGGTTTTGGCAAATTCTAGGAGCCTAACAGTAAGTATTTTGCTATACACGTAGGTAGAGGTAGTCTAAGGTCGGTCCTATTTTTTGTTTGCATGTGTTCCTCTATTATTGCTTGGTGGTTGAGTATGCACCACACTTATTGGTGCATGGCTCAATGTCTGAATAACCACATCAATCAATATTACCTATCTCATTATTAAAGAAGATTTTTGAAAAAAGTGAAGAATTTTTCCTCACCTATACAAAAGAATATGGAGCTTGAGGTTTGAGCTTGACTATTGTAATCATACTATTTCACAGTAGAAGATTTTTTGGACTAGATCTTGTGGTTTTTAGTTCTCTGAATTAGAAAAAGTTTTCAACATTAAAACTTGCTGTGTTTTCTTCTCAATTTCTCTATTTTTTGTTTTCTGCGTTGGGCGACTTGTAGACTTCGGGTCGACCTACAAGTGCTGAGTCGGTGCTGTATTTAATGACGTGTGATTCGCTTCTGATTGAGGGACCCCATTCCAACATTTTTATGCAGGTTTTTAAATTGCTCTTACATGGTTCTTATTTGTAGTTGCCTATTTGATTAGAAGTTTGATGAATAAAACCTTACGGTTGAAATTAATTTGAAATTGTGTGCAAGAAATCAAGTTTCCGCCACCATAAGTTTGATGAATAAAACGTTACGGTTGAAATTAATTTGAAATTGTGTGCAAGAAATCAAGTTTCCGCCACCATTTTTTCCCATTGTTTTGTCATCTCTTCTTTTTCATTTTCTCCATTCTTGCCTTGTTATGGAAGAAAACGCAAAGTACAACCTTGTAAATATCATAAAGATGATAAAAATTAGGGGTTTACATTTGTCATTTAACCTGACACAACAAATTTTCCTACACACACAATATTTTGTGGGGCCCACATTTAAAAAAAAAAACTATGGCACGCAAAATGAATCTCTATAACATTACACAATTATTTTTTCTACAATATAACTCTTATAAAACCCTAAAAATTAATATCAAATCATAACCGCTTGATTTAATTTTAATATAATCGTGATAAAAGTGACAATAATAGATAATATGTTTATTTTCTAATAAGTATAACCTGCATTATAAAAATTATAAACATATATTGGGTGCTCAACAATATAGAGCAAAGTTCAACCAATATTTCGTCATTAAAGCTGGTAAAAGTACTGATTCACAGTTTAATAATCCGACTGTACTCAGGTTGAATTATGATCAAACAAATGAGAGTAAAATATATATTTACTATTATATAATATATTAAGTAATAAATTAACATAAAATAAAAAGACCATTGGATTAAATAAAATTTTAAATTAGTATAAAGGGACTATATTATATATCCTACAAGATAAAAAATTAATAATAAAGTGCCAAATAATAATAGTACATACGTACACTTTATTTGTATAAAAGTATTTTAGTTGAATAAAACAAGAAAATACCAAAAAAGAAGAAGTTCAAACCGATTTTTCACCAACAATTTTGGATCGACTGTCCAAGCCGGTGACCTTACTAATTCATCGGTTTTCAGTCAAAGTGGTTAGTCCAATCTGAATTTTAAAACAATGCTAACCAATATGCAGTAGTTCTATCACTTCTATGGAAATAGATCCTCTAATGTGAAAAAAAAAAATGACATGGTCATGTGAGAAGATCACAACCATACAAAGGTAAATCAACGGTTATGATTTTGTAACTACCTATTTTAATATATTTTTCTCTCTCCTCTTTTATTACTATTGATCTACTTTTGTATGGTTATGATTTCCCACATGACATAGTCATGTGATTTTTCACATTAGAGGATCCAGATCCCACTTCTATACACTTTTTCTAATATGTCGTATGAGTTATTTGAGAGAGGCCTCGGTCTACAAATCAAAATTTTCTAGGTTAGACAAGGGGCAGTCCTTGTTCCCAGTGATTTTGTATTGAACATATTATTTATTATTAATATTATAATTATTATTTTAATATAGTATATATTTATTAATTCGGGGCACAAAACGTGATTGTGCGACAGGGTTCCAAAATTAATAGTTGCATCATGGCATTAAAAGTTCCATACAATTTTCGGAATTAAAAGGTGGGGTTGAAATAAATTATGGGGCTCTGTCGAATCTGACAGCAACCTGGAGCGTAATATTTGGAGATTCGCCCAGGTTTGAATATTAGATAGGATGGTTTTGATTTTTGAAGCCTCGAGAAATAAAGATAGTAGTGCAAAACATACACCGTTGAATTTGAAGATTTTAATTACTTGTCTACTTGTTGCCCATCAAGAAGAGAATATAAAAAAAGAAGAAGTCAAGTGATTGATATGGTTTCTGTAATCTGGAGTCGTATTGCAAGTCCTAAGTATCTATTTTTCACTATTGATAAGGTTTGATGACAGTATTAAAAACTTCGTACTAAAAATCAAACTTTAACTCATAAAATAGGTAAATATTCATGGAAAAATTAAATAAAAACCATAGTGTACACAATATTATGCAAAGTTTAACCAAAATTTTTTCAAAACCAAACGCCATCAAACTGGTAAAGTACTTATTCACAATTATAGTTTGACTTGGTTGAATTATGGTCAAACTGATAATTAAATTTATTATTATTATTATATAATATATAAGTAATAAAATTAACATAAAATTAAAATAAATTAAATTAGGTACATTTTTTAAAAATAGAAAAGATAAAAATTCAATAATAAAAGAGTAAATAATAGCTTACAAAAAAAAAGAGAGTAAATAATAACAATACGTATGTAAAATTTTTTTATCAGAAAAAATAGTTAAACATAAAAGAATAGCAAAAGAATAAAATACAAAAGAAAATGTAACTACTCTTTTAGAAGAGGTTATATTTATAATTATTTTCGTATAATTTCCTATAATTATTTTCTTAATTGAAAATCAAAGATTATAAAATCATATCAAGTGAAAGTGGTTAATTTAATTTTAATCTAACAAAATAAAATATTTGTAAAAGATTATAAATATAACTTACCTCCTAATTTTTCGCCGCCAGTTTTGAATAAGTTTAACAATTTTTTTTATTAGATTTTACGAGTTTTCCGAACCGGTGACCTGACTGGTTCGTCAATTTTCAATCAAATTCACTAGTCCGGTTTGAATTTCAAAACAATTTTATCAAATATGTACTAGTTAGTAGTTCCTATACCATCTTATGTCTCCAATTTTTTTATCTAACATATTGTATCATTTGTGAGAGAGGACGTAGAAAACATGATTACGGATAAGACACTGTTCCAAAATTAATAGTTGCGTCATGGCTTTAGCCCAAAAAACAAAATGGCAGATTCCATACAATTTTCAGAATTAAAAGGATAAAAATAAATTATGAGGCTCGCTCCTGAGTCTGAGCGCAACCATGATAGTTAAAAACTAATTTTAAAGATTACCAAAAAAAAAAAAAAAAACACTAATTTTAAAAAATTCATATTTTTATGATTTTTTTTATCAAATTCTAAACACTTTTATTTTTTTACAATTTTTTATCCCTTTTTTTATTTTTAAGTAAAAACTCGATTTTAACTACGTTGAGCGCACACAACCTGTAGACTAACGTTGGGAGACTGGGCCCAGGTTTGAATAATAGATAACATGGTTGAGATTAAATGCAAAAACTTAGAGAAATATATAAATGCAAAACATATACTGTAACTTCTAATTTGAATTTGATGATTTTAATTACTTGTCGTCAACTACTATCACCTCAACAAATAAATTGAAGCTTAAATTCAAGTGGATCACCAAAAAACAGGAGATGATATGACAAGATACAAATTTCAACTGAAGGTTCATGCAAAACAAAATCACTTAAAAAAACGCCATGCATTTTACATGGAAAATTTTCCCAAATTGAAGGTTTAACCTATATAGCAAAAATACTTGTAAATGTCAACAGGCCAACAATTCATTTTAACAGTCTCAGTAAATAAAGAAAAAATAATCAAATTACATTATTAATCATAGTACCTACAAGAAACAAGTATTGAAACAAAACTTGCACCAATGATATCTGGATGGCCTAAAAGCAATATATCATTTGCATGCTATAGAGGCGTTGCAAAACCTGTCACAACATTAACAAAGTAAATGTCAGGGTTCTTGAGCATTAAAGGATGTTTCTAAGGTACCCAAGTTTTTGGGTACCTCTATATTTTTATTATTAGATTCTGCAATCAAATTCATCTAACTGTCACCCAGTGATCAATAATACTGCCAACTGGGTAGGGTTACCAACCACAGGGGCACTATATAATTAATTCACCCAACACAAACATGACAATGCAATCTATATACTAAAGAATAGAGAAACATGAGGATGGAGATATTCAAAATGACATTGATTTTTTTTATTTTTTTTACATGGTTTACAATGCAGGACTTCAAAATGCAAAAATCCTATCAACTCTAGGTAAGTACTATGATGATAGGATGCATAAAAAAAAAGTTACAAAGCAACAACTTTTGCTACCATCTAAAGAAAAAAAAATAGAAGTTAAAAAAGGGCAGTAAGAACTATTAAGCAAAGAAAAAAAAGTATACTTTTCAAACATAAATAATTAGATAAATTAGTCGACTCAATGTTACTTTATCAATCAACCCTATCCACAACTAATAAAACTCCATGCCAGATAGCCCTAACTCGGTTAGAATGGAGCTTAGCCAATCCTTTTAGTGAAACCCTTTTCTTAACAGTTGTATTTAAGCACTTAATTTGGAAAATAAGAATAGAGTTCAGTGCAGCCTGCAGTTCTGTTGCAAAGCCTTTCACATCTGATACAGCCACAGACCTACGAGAATATTCTAGACGCAAATGCAGGGGATCTGTGGCACCTGCTGAGTCAGCCGATTAATTAGATAGGAGAATATTCTTCTAGGATGTTAGAATGGAAGTTTTTTACAGAGGGGGATAAAGAACTGTGGGAGAGTGAAAGGTGGAAGGCTGGGAATTGGAAACTTGGGCTAGGAGAGATCAGATCAGTACCTCTCGAATGTACTGAACTATTACTTCTTCCTTTATTTCAGAGTCTCCTTTTCTTCTGTATTTAGAATAGTGGATATCTTAATCTGTAACTTTTTTCTACAATCTGTCTTTTTCGTTTCCATATTAAAACAGAACATCCAGAAATATTCTGGGCCAATACGCCCGAGTGTTCTTTTCTTAATCTTACACTGATCCAGTTCTAACAACATCATACAAGCCAACCTTGTCTTCATTTTGCCCTAGTTGAAAATTAGGGGAACGACAAAACAAAATGCAGCCTCTCTTCCACCAAGTCTTAATTTAGTTAAATTAAAGAAAAATTATTATATAATAATGAATCACAAGATTCTTCTCTCAATCCATTTGAATACTAAAAGTCTTAGTGCGTGCTTCTTTAAGATTGTTTTTCAGTGCAAGCTGGCATTGGTAGGTCTTCAGAAGTGTTTACAGGAGTGTTATAAGCAACCATTTTCCCCTTTTGGCAAATGCACAAACAGGCTCTTATTCGAATATAACCATTATGCCACAGGTGTTGGTCTGGACCTCCTCCCCAACCTCAGCATAAATATAACCTCATTCCTAAAGCCACAGCTTTGCTTCTTCACTTGGCAAGTCAGAGCTTATCTCTCAATTCACATTTGTTTTACCTCATGTCATTAAAATTGATTCCAAAAACTCACATTAATTGAGCCCTTGTTAATTTGACTAAATCTTTTAGGCTAAAATTTGAACTCATTTGTCACTTCATTTGCTTATACATGATGTATCCTTAACCTGAGCTACGCAACCTATATAGTTTCCTGTTAAGGAAGTAGAAGTTGAAACTTACCTGCCTAAGTATTTTAAACATTGTTTTGATGTCATATGCGCTGTAATTGAATTAAATTGACACTTAAACTCTTCTAACAATAATAAATAGGAACCAATTTACCAACTACAGTTGCTAATGAAATTGCGTGAGTTGTGATGAAATGGTTACAATTACAAAAAAAACTAACCAGAAAATAAATTTAAGAAGGAAAATACTTTAGCCACGTGCCAAAGATTATTACCACTTCGGTACTCGCTGCCACAAGATACTATAAATCTTGTGGCAAACTGTGAAATGTACAAAAGAACATTGTACATGAAGGAAAATTAATGATGTTAATGTTTGAATGATCCTTATACTATCTTATACCTGAAATGCGAAAACAAATAAAATTGCAGAGTATCATCACGCCTGTTCTTTATTGTATGTTGGACTGGTGGTAATTCACAAATTAATACATGCAAACAAGTGAACAACCCACGATCTAGTTGGGGGAAGGACATAGCACTAGACCTGACAATTCTCGACTTACTATCTTATTCTTTCAAAATCAGAGCTGTTAAAAGTACAACCATATTAAAGCAAAAAGCAAATTTTCCAAATGAAAGAAAACATGAAGTATGTACTATAGCCCTTCTTACTTTTCCCCCCAAAACTGTGATTTTCAAGATAAAAGTATGGCATTGACAATTGAAATAAAATGAGAAAGAGCAGTTGTCATGAAGTTATAGTGGAAGATAATCCAACCAAAATGTGAATGAAGAGGCAAGAAGGAAGGAAGGGTACCTTCTGAAAGACAACCCCACTTGTTATTGTGCAAAGACAACAGAGAAGTGAACAATGCAGAAGCAGTAGCACTATGCAATGGAGTCAAAGACACTTGTGCACCTGCCAACTGCACCGGCAACCTAAACAGCAACCATAATTATTATTCATTTCATATGCATAAAAACAAAAGTTATCCACTTTAATATCCAAGTACAGTTATGAAATCACCATAGACTAAAAGGGGTAAGGCTAATAAGGGAGAAAATGATGATGTGGGGAAAAAGGAGTGAGCTTTACCAGGAAAATGAGAGTGAGCGCTTCTGGGGAGAAGCTCGAGAAGAAGAAGCAAACCCATTGAGTTTAGCAGCGTGTGAAGTAGAAGCAGAAGCAGATGAAGATCGAGCACATAATAGGGTTCTGGTTGAAGATGAAGCTATTTGGAGGGTTTTCCTTGCAGAATTGGCCGCCACCGCCATCTCTGATTCTCAGTCCGCAGTGGTGGGAAGGAATCACCAAACAAAGGAATATTTTGTGGGCTGGGCTGGGTCTAATCAATAAATCAAATATTAAACGGACCTCTCTGTCCATAGTCCAAAAGGGCCTTTTACTGTTCTAGTTTGGAATTTCATAACCCAAAAAACAAAAAAGGGGGATTTTATTTTTCTTTTTCTTTTTCTTATAAAACGATAACATCTAAATATACAGTAAAATAATATAAATCATGAAAACATGATATCATATATGCGAAAATAAATTCTCCAGTCCCCTTCTCTCTCTTCCTTCTTCCTCTCTTTCTCCTCTCTCCTTCCCCCTCACTCTTTCCGGATGCATTGGTCCGGTAGCATGATATATTTGCTGCATATATGCGTAAGTATTAAACACGTACAAAATTAATCAATGTTGCTTGACATTAGAAAACAACAATTAAGGATGCTGCTCAATCGATATATCAATTTCAGCCTTCTAGATTCTTTCAAATGCCACTGTTTAATATTATTTCCCAATATCTATATTCCTTTGGCCTTTTTACATAGATACATTTATGAGAAATACAACTATCTTATTATAGGAGATTGGTTATCTCATATTGCAAAGACAACAAGTATGAGGTCTGTTGCCTTGCTAACAGTTGTGCAAGTAATGCGCGCAAGTATACGCGACAACAAGTAATATAGGGCTGTTATAAGTCCCAGTTATCGTTCCCACAAGGATCGTTGGCGTTTTGAAATGACTAAAATTTGTAATTGCTTAAAATTGAGTTACTATTTAAAAATAAAAGATATAAAATTGTAAAGTAAAAATAATTTAGAATGGACCTAAAACACTACTGTTCACTTTTCTTTTAAAATTTTCTGAATTACTTTCTTAAGTTATAAAATAAGAATGAAGAATGGAGCAACTTAAATGAAAAATGTGACAAAAATTTTGAAAACGGAATAGAGATTGAAATATGAAATAACAAAGGAAATTGGAAAATCTGAATTGATAAAGATGTTTAAAAAGGTGGGTTGAGTTTTTGGCTCTCCTTCCCCACAATGCTTGAAAAATAATTTGATTAACAAAAGGCTCATCCTAAGATTCTCTGTTAACAGGACTGTATTGTTAATTTTTAATCTCTTAAAAATTATTTTATCCCAAAGTTGCCCACTTCCATATCTCTATGCCAAGTGGGATTAGGACTCTTGAGATTCAGGTCCACTATTACATGAGGACTCATTCATTTCTGAATTGAGATCCCTTAGATGATTTCTCATCTAAGTTCATGTGTCTAATGCAGAATCCAGAATTAATTGTTTCTCAACAACTAAATCCTAACCAAACATCTGACATTTGGCCAAAATGCAGATAATTTTAAACATTAGAAACAACATTAAACAACTGAGATATAAACATTAAAACCAGGAAATCAAATATTTGACAAGCACTGAGGTTTGGGTATAACCTAAACCCAACCTCTAAAAAGTTAGCCACTATCCATAGGGGTGAGGCTTACAAACAGTAACAGAACTACAGAATTCACAAAATAAAAATTCTAAAAACTACAATTACAGCACTGGCCTAACAACCGGCAATCTCAGTGCTGTAAAGACATGCATCAAGTTCATCAAAATGAACCAGAATCTCATTACAAAACAGAAATTAAAAGAAACTCAAAATTGTTCAGAAAACAAAAACTAAGAAAAACCATAAATCAGAAAACAGAAGAGAGCTCCCCGATGACTCACTCCTATATCCCTTTTATAGGGCTCTTTGCACACTATCCTCTTTTTCTCCAGCTCAGCAATATGACGCGCTGCTGCAAATGAGTGGTCCCCACAGTGCTCCACTCCTCTGCTCTTACAAATCGGATGGAATTGTCGTTCCTTCAAACCGTACACTGACGTGTGCTCACAATCGCTCCAGCATCCACTAAGTAACGGATCTTTGTTTGGCTTTTTCTGAATCCAAAATAGTGGCTAGGTTTTGGTTTGTTTGCGATATTGTGTGGTTTGGTGCGTCAATCAGGTAGAAAGGGTGCAAACGATGGAAATGGGTTGTATGAGGGTTAGGGTTCGGTTCGAGAGACAAGGTGTTAGGGTTTGTGTAAGTTGGTCCGATTCAAAAACTGAACCGTGGTGGAAAGTGATGGTTCTATATCTAGGTTGAAAATCAGAGGATGTTTTTGGTTTACTTGCTCGATTCAGAGAGGGAACCGTGATGGAGAGCTTGAGATGGAGTAGGCTCACTTAGACGGTCTATGCTAGGATTTTTTTTCTTTCTCTTTCAGAAGACGCACGATTCTGACTTCTTTCTCTCTTCTTCTTTTCTTTTCTTTTGGGCCACTGATTTGCTTTCTCATTTTTCTATTATTTCCTTTCTCTTTCCTTGGGCTGTATCACAATTGGGCCTGAAGAATGCAAATAAGAAAAAAAACCCATTAGCATTTAAATCAGAATCATCCACCTTAATTCAATTTGGGGTATCTATTAACACAAAGTGTATTCTTTTTTTACATTTTTATATTAAAAACCATACATTGTAAGTATTATTTCATGGACTTATCACACCCCCAAGCTTACACTGTTGCTTGTCCTCAAGTGACACAAGAAATTAGATCCAAAATTTATCAAATTAACCACTCTTTCAACTAACAATCATTCAAATCACATCATTCAAAGCTACTCAGAATCAATCAACAATCTCAAACATTTTCATCAGCATTTCAATGTTCAGCTTTTAAAACCAACTTCAGTGCATCATATTATCACAAAGATCAGGGAACAGAGGTAGGTACATAGTTCAGCAATCCATCAATCACAAACCAGGCAGCTAAATGATCCTTTTATTCCATAAAACTACTCAGCAAATAGTGTGTGAAATTCAAATGCATAAGTGCCTCACTGACTGTTGAATAATGACAAAAGAGATTCTGAAAATTCAATTCTTAACACAGCATGCAATATTTTTCAAAAGGCAATAAAGATGGCAACTTTTCACAGCCTCACTGACTTACAGAATTATTCACTCAATGCTCAAGGGTTCTGTTTCTCTCAATCCAACACTAGGAATAGCTTTGACATAGGCTTGATAAGATGCTCTTGTCTTCTAAGTGACACACAGACCTGAACTTAATCAAAGGGACTTGAATAGGTTGTAACTTGGCTAAGGTGAAGGTGGAAAATTTGTGGGGGATTGGCTAACTTAGCTATGATGGAAAGGAAACACAATTATGAAGCATAATCAACTAATTCAGTGGCAGCTACTTTGACCGCTATTTTTCTCTTATTGAAAATCTCTTTTTTTCCTTTTTTTTTTTTTTTTTTCTTTTTTTTTTTTTTTTTTTTAACAACCAACAAAATAAAAATAACAAAAAATCTTGCTTCTTTTTCTGTTTCCATCATAACTAAGAGGTGTAATAGATTGTGGGATAAGATAAAATGTGGGTATGTGAAAAGAAAAGGTCAAAGGCTCAAAATGGGTTTTCAATGGATGATGATCTATGGATGGCTTTTTGGTTTTAAAATGGTTAAGCAAAACAACAAATTGCCCTCATCATTTTAAACTCAAGCCAATGCTACACTTCTTCAACTAAGCACCAAAACAAGTTCTGCCTCACTACCCCAGTGTGAACCCCTCATGGAAAAAATTTGCTGTGTAGGCTCAATATCTCACAGTGTTGGTAAAGTCACCATCTCACATGCTTATTGTTAAAATTCACAAGATGCATTAATCAACTAAATTTCTCAACCTCTCACTGCCTTTTACCCATCAATCATTTAAAACACTCATTTCACTCTTCATCCACAAAACTACCCTGAGTTCTTTTCCTTTATTCAAATTCTCAGCTGCTTAGTTGTGATACTGACCACTCATTGCTAAACATCACACTCCTCAAATCCATTCTCATATCCAAAATTCCCTTTCACCAAAACAGCACAAAATCTCTTCCTAACTCAAAACAACCACACCAACAGAAAACTTCATACAACTCTAAAAACAACAAATCCAATCAAAACAGCAACTGAAACATAAGAAATTAATTCAAACTAAAAAAAAAAAAAAATTCTAAAGAGCAATCATGGTTTATGGTGCACCAACAGAATACTCTCCCCCAAACTTAATTTCAATAGTGTCCTCATTGTTGTGCCTCAAACAAGTTACACAAATGAAAATTTTACAAATAGGATCAGTGTAACCTGAGGCCAGAAGAAGTTCTGGCCTATTTCTCCTGATAATCTGAGTCCCCTGACTCAGATTTATCCACATCTTCAGATTCTGATTCAGAAGACTGCATTTCTTCTTCTTCATTGTCACTCACTTCCTCCATGGCAGCTTTTGTTCTTGGCCTTCCCCTCTTCCTTGAGCTAAATGGATGGCCATGTTCCTTTGTAGGTAGAGGAGTTGTCTCTTGCCTTGTAGGTTGGGGAGAAGGAGGATTGCCAGCAGCTTTTGCCATGGCTTCTTTTACCTGTGGATCAACAAATACTGAAGAAGGTGGCCATGTTAAATCATCAGGAAGTGAAGGTAAACCAGGAAAATTTGCAAAGGTATTTTTCAAAAAATCATTCAAGACTCTGTCCCTCCCTACAATGTAATCATGAAATCTGGCTCTATTATACATAAAAGTGTAAAATTGATCATATGTTTTCTCAAACAGCAAGTCCATTTTTTTGTTATGATCTTGCATTTGCATGAGCACTTTATGTATATGAACCAGATTATTCTGTAACCCGCCTGGGAAAGGCTGGTCTTCAGTGGGAGGGACCATAGTCTCCAAGCGATTTGCAATATTTTCAGCCTCCTGTTGCTGAGAACTAGCAACATCAGGGACAAATTTCCCTTTCTTTTCTGGAGGAGAAGACTGAGTCTTCTCCTCTTCAACTACCCCCTTCAACTTTTCTTTTCCTTCTATTTCTAACTTTTCTTGCTGTGACACCCTTTTTCTTGCATAATTGTTATATGAAGCTAGGGAACCGTAGCTTGCCTTTCCTACCCCCAGCACAAGCTCCAATTCCTCTAAAAACTAATTTGGCAGCATCTACTGG